CAATACCCTCATCTATGCCTGGTAAGTGAGGAAACCGTGGAGCAGCTGACACTAGGATTGTCTTTGTGAGATTGATAAAGTGACTTCAGACATAATGACTTTGTCAAAATAACACGATGGCCACAATGTGGGGAACCTTTGGTCACACAGAGGGAGTCACGACAGTATTTTGGCATCAGCCGTTTTACCCCATCTCGGCCCTCCTCCGTCACCCCGGCGTTTGCTCTAGAGTCGCAACACGGTTAGGGTGGGTGACCAAAGAAGCATGCAAATTGGAATGGGTGGCAAACTTGTGTCTCGGTGGAGACGAAGGATGGGTTGTAATGGCAAGTATTTGAATAACTCAACTATTGAAAATGGCTGTTTAATTCACTTGATATTTGTTATAACCTGTGGTACTGCAGTTAGTCAGTCAACTACTCAGCCATGCGGTCTGTAGATCGACACTTGATGCAGTGCACAAGATTCTACAAGTTCGTTAGAAAAGTGCCCCTTTTCATTATCTTCAACCTTTCACTATCATGCTTGACCCCGTACATTCCAGAAGGTCCACTCCTAATCAGTCTCTCCAGATTAGCTGATATGATATAGAGGTGCACTTTAAATGAACCAGGACTCACTAATGGGACCATATCAGTGGCTATGCTCCAACAAAAGCAGTGTATGCGTGAGTCTCCAGCTACTCCGTGTCTCTCTTGGCCATTTTCACTAGTCATCCATCCACCCAGCTAGCTGTCACGCACACGCCACATCACCTTGCTTACGCATACCCGTTGGCAAGTCAAGCCCTCTGGTTCGCAGCTCCAAAGCATTCCAATTCAAAGCTCATGCGCACCTAAGATTTGGTTCGTGGCAGCGCATTACCTTGAAGTGTTGAGAGTGAGATGAGAACCGAGGTGACCTCGAGACTTCTTATATGTCATTTCTTCTCAGGCAATATTTCATCTAGTCTTGCGAAATGAAGACAAGTTATCCCTGCTGCCATGGCTAAGTTAAAGCAAAGTAGAATGTCAGTTCCTGCAGTAAATTAATCTTCGCGGAACTAAATGACCGGGTTGCCTTTTACTGCCAGAGGAAAGTAGTGTTGATTAGTGAAGGGCGAATGCATTCCCTCCTTCCACCTGTCTAGGACTTGGGTGTAGGAGAGAGAGACGGAATCCTACTAATAAAGTATTGTTATTCGCTTTGCTGGTGAACGCGGCCAACTGAGTGTTCATTGCAAAGCACATTACCACTCTCTCCCTCTCCCTCTCCTTCCTTCTCGTGTGGGGCACGTGCGAGCATGACAAGAGTGATGTTAATGACGTGTTTCGTGTGACTTTTTTAAGGAAGGAGATGTGAGTTGTGCAGTCACAGTGTAGCTGAAGCATCAAAGGGACTGAATGAATTGCACCTGTTTTTGCCTTCATAGTTCTGTGAAGGAAAGCGTCTTCTCTGTTGTATTCTTCACACTTCCATGGTCCCTCCTCCCCTATGTGACCCACATTCCATTTACAGGACACACTTTTCTCCCAAATCCCCCCGACAGACAGCAAAGGCAATCAACTAGTCATTTATGAGCGGATGGCGTAGTTAGCTGTTAATTTGGAGAAAAGCCGCCTCTTCCGGGTGAAGATGAGAAATAACAGAGAACAGACGATAGTCATCTTTTCAAGGACCTACGTCATTGGCATTGGCAAGCGGACGTCCTCCCACATAAAATCGAGTATTTGCCTTATTGCTGGCAAATATTTCTTCGGTCGTTTTGACATTTAGAGCACCAAAATAATAAAGTCGCTTTCACGAGGCGTACAATGTGGGTTGTGTGACGAATAGGACCAGTGGTACTTTGATGGGAACACAAATTGGTGGGTTGGAGGATCGAAAGAGCTGCTGAATGTGGATGATCCCACTTTAATTGCTGCAAAGTCTACGTTCATGAGAGCATGCCTTAACGTAGGAAATATTTGAGAATGACACTAACGTGCTACTTTCTACGACGTTTTCAGTAGACTAAATATCACCACCTCAACTTTCATCCATTAGGCGTCCTTGTCTCATTACAAGTGCAATAATGGAAAGGGCAGTTGGCATGTGACTATTACCAGACGGTCCATGTAGAGACGTCTACCTCATGGTTACTTCACTTTATCCAAACGAATGGTTTGTTCATGCTGAAGTCGTAAACATGCGCAGTGCATAAATCCCACGAGGTAGGCATCGAGGTGGATGAGTTGTTTGCCTTTACCGCTGGTAAGGGAAGAAGGCGTTAATGCCAATGCTGACAATCACAGTGGTGTGCTCATCTCAGT